GACATTAAAATATATATTTAAAATTTGTTAGCGGATAATTTCCAAAAGCTTCAATGAAATTTCGTAATTATCGTTAAACAGTTAATGTCTTTTTACAATGAAATTATTTTTTCGTCCTGCCCTCGTGTAATTATTTTCTGAATTCATTTTTCGCCATTCAACTCTATTCTCCTAACGACTTCACCTATCGGCCTTTATTTTACAATTTATTTACTTTCTTTTTCTTTTCTCATTAGGCGTAGATAGGTTGAACTATCATCCGGTTCACACCCACTTGTCTCGTGAATTTGTTGACGTAAATCGTTACAGTGTTCGTGTAGTCCATCCCCGACTATAATCTCGGCACGGACATTGCCGACATTATAACATCTACAGGGTGTGATGAGTGAATTGCCATTATTTTATATTTTTAATTTCGCGCATGCGCATTGTTTTTTTTTGTTTTTTTTTTTTTTATTTGTTTAGTTTTGCCGAACGCGCAGTATAGTAGGATCTTTTAGGCACCGTCTATGAAGAAAAGTGCATCATGACGCAATTCCCTCCTCCAGAAATTTAGAATAAATTGGATGAGTCTAATGGTGATTACGAAGGTGCTGGGGGTGATTACTAGTTATGGCGACGTTATGCCTCCATCCATCTTCCTCAGACTCAAAACGGAAGCCTACATCAAGTGCCTTGAGGAATTACTTCTGCCCTGGGTCAAGAGGGTGACTGCTTGATGATCCTATGTCTACAAACCGTAGTCTGCACCATGACACACCTTACATCTGGCCACCTAACTCCCCAGACTTCAAGCCCTTGATTATTATGTATGGGGCGCAGTTGAGTAAGAGATCAACTCCTTGTAACACCAAACATGAACTGAAGATAAGGATTATGGCAGCATTCACGAACTTAAACAAGGAGGTAGTATTGTTACTCCAGCGATTAGTTAAACAACAGGGTCACCTGGCCTCTCATGACATGCCCTGATCTATAGCCGGACGAACGACGGCGACGGAAAAAAAACAAAAAACGTAGCCATAGATTAAACTTGTGCAATGATCACATTCATCAAACTCATATATATATATATATATATATATATATATATATATATATATATAGAGAGAGAGAGAGAGAGAGAGGATGAAGAAAGCTGACGAGAGTTAACTACCGCGGTTTCAATCTCTACGGTTTCATCGGGTGGTTTGTTCAGCAAATCAACCATGTAGAGCTCAAAAAATTAAGCACTTTCGAATTTTTTTCCTCCTCACCATTACTTCCGGTTTTAAAAATGCTTAAGTTGTTGAGGTCGTGTTGTTGATTTAATGAACAAACCACCTGAGGAGACCGTAGAGGTCGAAACCGCGGTAGTGTGTTCTGGCCAACTTTCATCCTTTCTCATTATAAACAGCTCGGCAAGTCTGGTCTAGTTTATTCAAGTTTACTATTTGTGTTACTCTGGGTTCTGTAGCCTTGGATGGCAACTGATCTATGAGAAGGACAACTCTGAATTCAAAACCTGCGGAGGGTCATTTGGGAACCTTGTGGCATTCGGTGCAACAGGTCTCTGTATTCGTCCCTTCAAAAAGTGTGGATGATCCTGCACGAGGGCTTCACCACTATAATCAAATCTCATGTGCCGGTGTCGGGTTGTCGGTTTCCTGAAACTGATCTGTTTAACCCTCATACGTCGAATCTCGACGAGAGTCGACTATATATATATATATATATATATATATATATATATATATATATATATATATATTCCCTTTTCTGCCATCCATTCATCAAGTCCTTCAAGTAGGCGACTCGCTGTTTACACTGCTTCTCTTTCTTTCAATATATCTTGTGAGTGTCAAATTCTCCAAACTCTCTTTCCTCATTTCAGCTATCTCTTTTTTAATGTCATTATGCTTCCACGTTTCTCATATAGTTTGTTCAAGCTTTTATAAGCATCCTTCTGTAGAACCACACGTCTGTTGCCTCAAGTATCTGTTTTGTCTGTGAAGAAATTCTTCAGCAGTGAATGTCATACACGCAAAACTGATATCACATAGATGTTCGGCATTATTTTCTCTGTTTCTCATGAAAGGTTCTTCTTTATCAATATTGTCGCTATTCCAATGAGTCTTTGTGGTTTTGGTGTCACATCTTCACCGTCGGTTCCGACGATAACCAAATGGTTAAATTTCTGTACCTGCTTTATTCTGATGTCTCCATTCATGCCTTTGACCATCTCTCATGTTGACAATCACATATTCTGTTAATTATTATTAGTAGTAGCACTAGTAGTAGTAATAGTAGGAGGAATATTAATATTAAGATCCTGTTAGCTGGGGCTTAAGAATACGTCGATTGTACGTCTGCGGAAGAGTAAGACACCCACACACACACACCTAATCAGGAGTTCTTGGTAAGACGATAAACTATATCCTCCAACAATAAGGCCTCTGATCAGGTTTTGAGGAGCGTGGAACCGCCTCTTAATTGCTGGTCTCCCTCAGTTCACTCTGATCCGGGATAGTAGCACCTGTTACGGGGCCCAGCTATGGGGTAAATAGTTAACCACCAAACTGGAATCAAAACACTATGAAAGTATAAAAATAGATTTTAATAACAGCAATACGTTTTTGTAAAAAAATTATTGCCAGCAACAAATTTTTGAAGAAAAATTATTACTAGCAACGCATTTTTGAAGGAAAAAAATATATTACCAGCAATACATTTTTGGGGAAAAATATTAGCTAGGCATTTTTGAAAAAATATTATCAGCAATAAAAATCTTGTAGGCATTAAATAACACATTGAGGTTGATTTTCCATACAACAAAATAAACCAAACCAATCTTCTTGTTCTTCTTGTTGCTATTATTATTATTATTATTATCATTTTTATTTTCTTTGATTTCTGGCGTTTACACATTTCTTTCCGGGTCCTGCCCAGGGACCTAAGGTTAGAAATGGCGTCATGACACTTTCCACTGACAAAAAAAAAAAAAAAAATTAAATTACATAGATAAAGCCCTTCGTAAAGTGTGGGCTGTACTTGTCAGAACAATTTTTTGTATCTCCTTGAGGCATGGACATCCAGGAATCCCTTCAATTAGTCTATTGCAATCTTTTCCAACCAGTCCCAGGGCTCCAACTACAACAAGGATTGTTGATGTTCCCATATGCCATATTTTTGAGATTTCTATTTCAAGGTCCTTGTATTTTGACAACTTTTTGAATATCTTCAAAGATACATTGCAGTCAGCAGGGACTGCCATATCAATAAGGAGGCACAGTTTTTGTTTGTGGTCTTTAATAACAATATCTGGGCGGTTGGCTTTGATTGTTCTGTCAGTGTGTATTGTGTAGTCCCATAGAATTGTAACAGGTCCTATCTCCGTAACCGGATCTGGGTGGTGTTCATACCAGTTTCTTTAAGTTTCCTTCCCATAGAAGTTGCAGATTTTCCAGTGCAGATATTGGCCCTCTCTGTCATGTCGGGTTTTATATTCAGTGGGTGCCAATATCGTGCAACCTGATACAAGATGATCAATCGTTTATCACTATTTATCAATATTTATCACAGAATCTGCATTTTATGCTGACACAATATTTTAGTATATGTGCTTGATAATTCCTAATTAGCAAGCATTGGTCCTGCGCAGCAAGGATAAAACCTTCAGTTTCCGCTTTCAACCCTGCACTACGTAGCCACTGATGGGTACGGGTTTTGTCTACGTCAGCTTGTTTGGTACGGGCAGAGTATTGGCCATGAAGCGGTTTATCTTGCCATCGCTTCTGTATCTGGTTGGTTGCATTCGTCTTTGCTGTCTTTTTTTAAGTATTTTGCAGTTTCAGCCGGTGTATTGTGCTGTAGTTGCATCTCTACGCCCATTTCAAACTCCATTATTATTATTATTATTATTATTATTATTATTATTATTATTATTATTATTATTATTCCTTCTGTGTTGCAACCAGAGACCTAAGGATAGAAATCGCTTCGTGACATTTTCCCCTGATCATTTTTATTAAAAATAACAAAACAATTACACATATTTTACATAGATAAAGCTCATTATAATGTGTGAACTGGACTTGTGAGTACAATTTGTATTTCGTTAAGGCCTGTGCTACCAGAAATCTCTTCAATGAGTGTATCTGAACCTTTTCCAATGAACCCGAGGGCTCAAACGGGAATTATTGATGTCCTCATGTAACACATTTTTTTAGATTTCCACTTCAAGATCATTGTAATTTGATACTTTTTGAAGATTTTATTACTACTACTACTACTACTACTATTATTATTATTATTATTTGGCCATGGAAACATATATAGCAGGCAAAACTATTTCTAACCATAGGCATAAAAAGAACCTTTACGTAATAACAGCTGACAATCGATCCCGAGGCTGTTTGCCCGGTTAGTAGACAGTCCCTGTTTCAGACGCCTGTTAAGGTACATTTGTGTTTGTTGGACATCCACAGAAGTCACTCTTGGCTTATACTGCAACTGTGCTTAACGGACCTTAGTTGCAGTTTCCGGGAGCGCGTGAGCGAAACATGTTGCAAGATCGAAAGTTCGAACTCGGCCAGCAGATACAAATGCTTGGTCACGATGGCGTGTTACCACGTGCTAGGATGCACGAGGTCTCAAGCCATCGTGACCGAGTTCCGTCGACCCAAATCATGGGTTAAGTCGTCCCATGTTTTTTTTTTTTTAGAAACTTCCCCACTTCGGCTCACATTCCTGACATATCGAGCATGGTAAGATTCGAACCTTGGCTTCGTGGTTGGAAAGTGAAAGTTCTCACCACTGAGGCACGCGCTCATTGATAGTTACCGTCAAAATGAATGATGGTAGCTTTACATGTTCTGTACAAAAATAAATCCTTTCATTGATTTACCATATTCTAAGATCCATGTCTGCAATACGCATTTCAAAAACTTATATATCTTTATTTACCTTTCGTTGCATTCATATGCAATTATCTTATATACACAAGAATATCAACTTATAGGATGCATACCGTCTTCTTTGGTCACGTATTTCTATTACTTGATTTTATACCTACAATACAGATGTACGTGTATGAAGTCTTTAAATAAAAGTACTGTGATAAAGCGAAGACTTTTCCGACCTCCGGAGCGGTAGTAATTCAATTTTTTTTTTTACACAGACTGGTGCTAAGAATGCAAACATATTTAAAATAGATGCAGGTATGAACAAAAAAAAAGTTCAAAAGGAAAAAAGAACAGGTATAAAAATAAAAGACTTCTTTGCAAGGCATCTAACGTGTTCTGTTTTTGTTTTTTGTTAAAGTTTTCACATTTTTTTTTTCATTTTTTCTCATCAGCCTTTTAAGAATCAGAGTAAACGGACACCATATTGAAAGACTGAAGAGGAAGTCTCATTCGTGGCTTCATCGTTATTAGCGAATCTGTCAGGAATCTAACATCGCTTGTCCCTTTTATTAAGAGTCTATGATATTTTCTTCTTTTCAGTTTCTTTTCTGAGTTTCGTGCTTAACGGGTTTCATATTCCGTTTCTTGTCTTCTTTTTTTTCTTTGTTTTTAATGTAAGCTTCCTTCTTTTTTATTTCTTACGTGTTTTACTGTTTTTCTTTCTGTTTTTCTTTTTCTCAGGTCTCTTTATTTTTCTCGTGTTTTTCGTTTTTTCACGTCTTTTATTGTTTTTCTTTCCATTTTTCTTTTTCTTACTTTTTTTATTGTTTTTCTTTTGTTTTTTTCTTCTTTTTCTCCCGTGTTTTCTTTTTCTAACGACTTTTATTGTTTTTCTTTTTCTCACTTCTTTTTGTTTTGTTTTTTTGTTCTTTTCTTTTTCTTACGCTTTTTCTTTTTTTCTTTTGTTTTTTTTTTTCTTTTTCTCACGCCTTTTCTTTTTACTCACGCCTTTTCTTTTTTTTCACGTCTTTTATTTTTTTTCTTTCGGTTTTTCTTTTTCACACGCCTTTTCTTTTTCTCCCGTCTTTTCTTTTTCTCACGTCTTTTATTGTTTTTCTTTCGGCTTTTCTTTTTCTTTAATTTCGACTTTCTTCACGTCTTTCCTTTCGATTCTCTTTTTGTCCTTTATTTTCTTTTTAATCTGTCTCTCTTTATTTCATTTTTTTTTTTGTTTTATCACTTATTCCAATTGTAGTCCATCACTTATTCTGATTTGTCCAGGTGGTGAGATACTTTACGACATATCAACCTCAATGGGTTATTTAATGCCGACAAGATTATTATTGCTGGTAATAACTTTTTCAAAAACTGTATTGAGGGTAATTTTTGGTTCCAAAACTGTATTTGCTGGTATTATTTTTCCCAAAAAGTATTGCTGGTAATAATGTATTACTGATAATAATTTTTTCCAAAAATATATTGCTATTAATTTTTTTCACAAAATGTATTTCTGGTAATATTTTTTTTTCAAAAAATGTATTGCTGATAACATTTTTTTACAAAAATGTATCTTTGGTAATAATGCTTTTTCTTCAAAAGTTAATTGATGGTAATAAGTTTTTTACAAAAATGTATTGCTGGTATTAAAATCTATTTTTACACTTTCGGGGTTAACTATTTGCCCACAGCTGGGACTCTAACAGTTGCTACCACCCCGGATCAGTGTGGACCTGGGAACACCTGAAATTAACAGGTCTTTCCACGTTCCTCAAAACCTCCTGATTAGAAGCCTTGCTGTCGGATGTAGTTTATTGTCTTACCCAGGACGCGGATGTAGTTTATCGTCTCACCAAGGACGGAATGGGCGCCTTACTGGATGGTTAAAATCTATAACAATAACATACAATCCTCTTAACTTTTTTTTAAAATTTATAATTCCATTATTAATCATTTAAACAGAAATTATGAGTATATTAAGAATAAGTGGTCCATTTGAGAACGAAGTTATTATACCGATGTCCATTGTAAAATATACATGTGTGTGTGTATTTAAACTTTAAATTTTTAGTAATTTTAATGAAATTAAGTTATCTAATTTTATGTTAATAATACTTTGATTACACCTATTGTAAAAAAAAGCCATAAAATGTATTAATTCCCTTTGGCCTGGAAGGGTATAGAGCCTTATTCGGCAATCTTCCTAAATATGGTATCTTGATAAAAGAGTCCCGTCTCCTGTACTCTAAACAGGTTAATAGGTTTAGATAAGTTTACCTATCGCTCGGTCAGTACAACTTCCATATTTATTGAACAGGTGTAAAGGTTTATCCTTTGTTTCCTGTTTAGGGCATGGTTTAACGGTTTTTTCTACTATGGTCATATTGATTTAAATGTTTTAAATTTTAAATGATCTGACTGAGCAATGTTTGCGATTTTTCATTATGATGGTACCGGGTTGGCAATTTTCTGGTTTCTCTTTCCGACTGGTAGTAAGAAGCCCGATCTCTTTGGTATCGCTTAGAGAGGAAGCGCTGATCTAACAGTTGGGGTATATGTTGTGCCATGTCGAGCATTGATGTGTCCCTGCATGTATTTCTGGTGGGCAATCCTGAGACCGCATTATGCTTTAGTCTTAGCCACCTTCTGTCAAGTTTGGGCAACCCTGAGGCCGCATTATGCTTTAATCTTAGCCACCTTCTGTCAAGTTTGGGCAACCCTGTGACCACATTATGCTTTACGCTTAGCCACCTTCTGTCAAGTTTGGGCAACCCTGAGGCTACATTATGCTTTAGGCTTAGCCACCTTCTGTCAAGTTTGGGCAACCCTGAGGCCGTATTATGATTTAGTCTTTGCCACCTTCTGACAAGTTTGGGCAACCCTAAGACCACATTATGCTTTAGTCTTAGCCGCATTATGCTTTAATCTTAGCCACTATCTGTCAAGTTTGGGCAACCCTGTGACCACATTATGCTTTAATCTTATCCACCTTCTGTCAAGTTTGGGCAACCCTGAAGCCACATTATGCTTTAGTCTTAGCCACCTTCTGTCAAGTTTGTGCAACCCTAAGACCACATTATGCTTTAGTCTTTGCCACCTTCTCTCAAGTTTGGGAAACCCTGAGGCCGTATTATGCTTTAGTCTTTGCCACCTTCTGTCAAGTTTGGGCAACCCTGAGGTCGCATTATGCTTTAGTCTTTGCCACTTTCTGTCAAGTTTGGGCAACCCTAAGACCACATTATGCTTTACGCTTAGCCACCTTCTGTCAAGTTTGGGCAACCCTGAGGCTACATTATGCTTTAGGCTTAGCCACCTTCTGTCAAGTTTGGGCAACCCTGAGGCCGTATTATGATTTAGTCTTTGCCACCTTCTGACAAGTTTGGGCAACCCTAAGACCACATTATGCTTTATTCTTAGCCGCATTATGCTTTAATCTTAGCCACTATCTGTCAAGTTTGGGCAACCCTGTGACCACATTATGCTTTAATCTTATCCACCTTCTGTCAAGTTTGGGCAACCCTGAAGCCACATTATGCTTTAGTCTTAGCCACCTTCTGTCAAGTTTGTGCAACCCTAAGACCACATTATGCTTTAGTCTTTGCCACCTTCTCTCAAGTTTGGGAAACCCTGAGGCCGTATTATGCTTTAGTCTTTGCCACCTTCTGTCAAGTTTGGGCAACCCTGAGGTCGCATTATGCTTTAGTCTTTGCCACTTTCTGTCAAGTTTGGGCAACCCTAAGACCACATTATGCTTTAGTCTTAGCCACCTTCTGTCAAGCTTGAGCAACCCTGAGGCCGCATTATGCTTTAGTCTTAGCCACCTTCTGTCAAGTTTGGGCCACCCTGAGGCCGTAATATGCTTTAGTCTTTGCCACCTTCTGTTAAGTTTGGGCAATCCTGAGGCTACATCATGCTTTAGTCTTAGCCACCTTCTGTCGAGTTTGGGCAACCCTGAGGTCGCATTATGCTTTTTCTTAGCCCACTTCTGACCAGTTTCTATTGTCATAGACGATAAAGATAATTCTTTCAACGTTTTTCTTCTTAAAATGAATCTTCTTATGGCAAATACAATGAAAAGAAAGACGTGTAAACCAGTAAACAAAATCTGTCTCATCCTTTCTTTCTCCAATATTCGCGGCATTCGTTCTAATTCCTGTTGTATTTAATCTTTTCTTTTCAAACAGTCTCCAGATGTTTTCCCACTTTGGGAAACTAATTTAAATTCTTCTATTGTTACCAATGGATTCTCTGTTCCAGGCTATCATCCTTTTTACCGAAAATATTTTAGAATACACTAGCAGCCATACACAACTGGTAGATAAGAAAAATCGTTCAATTACAAGCAAAAACGGCATCATGTTTACATGTAACAGTGCCTATCTTCTTCAATTACTTTAAACTATTTTCTTTAAAAAACATTTTGAATTAATGCATTTACTGATATAACAGAAGTAGTCTGTATTTATTCAATCGAAGTTAGCCGAGCACATGAAGGGGTAAAAAAGGCAACATGAAGAACAACTTCAGAACACAATTATTTTTGGAGTTTTTGAAATTCAATTTGTCAGTGTGCTACCAGGGATGTAAAAGAGGATACATTTATGAAGCAGTTGTTAAGTTTGATGAAAATTGGTTGAAGGATCAACGAAAAATAAGAAAGAAACCAGTAAAATTCGCCATTTTCCGCTATTTATGCGGGTTTTCACTACATTGGTCGATACAATTATCAAGTTAAATAACTGTTAAACAATCAACTTATTGTTGGCTACAATTGAGTGAAATTTGTATTAGCTTGCTTGAAAACCGAGGGAGTTTTTAATTTAAAATTTATGTTGAAATCGATTTGTGTTGAAATCAATTGAAATGAGGTAGCATTGAGCTCGTCATGATGTAATTAACCTACATGCCGAGTTTGAACGAAATCGGAGGAAAAAAAAGTTGAATTCATCGATTTTGATCGGCTTCATTGATTACTGATTTTTAAAAAATATCGATTTTTAAGCTGAAAATCAATCTCTTATTTGTGCCAAGTTTGATCAAAATCAGCTGGATGGATCTCGAGTAAAAAGGTATCACACAGACAGATGTCCTCTGTTTTATATAGAGAGATATTCATAACCTCAGTGTTTATATTCAGGAAAATCTCGCAATTGCAAGGGAATTATCTCTTGAGTCCTAAAATGTTTCATTTATTTATCGCTTTTTTCTTTATCCTTCTTCTCAGGACTGTAATATATTAAACAGATTTTATGCTAATATAGAAATGGCATTTTTTTCTACATCATCTGAGACTATTTTTGCATGGTGTATTTAATGCTAGTGATGATATTTAAAGACACCAAACACAAAATTAGCGACTTAAGCATTCTAATGTTGCTGATGCTAACGATATTCAGACTTTCAATTTTTCCATGGCTCAGTTTCTCAGTCAAATAGTGGATTTTCCTACGTCTTTATTTGACATGTTACTTGCCTCCTCTTATCATTCTTGTAGGGCATTATAACTCAATCCTCTTGACAATTCGGATTACACCGTATTATCTATTGATATTTCTTTTGAGTCGTCTATTAGAAAGGAACCTCCTATTTACAAGGCTTCTGTTACGAGCGTACTGATTGGGATTCAATTCGTGACTTTCTTCGAGCCGCCCTTTAGATTGATATTCTCAAACTACCAATAGAGAATTATACCACGTAGATTTCTTCCGGTATTGATGCTTTTGTATCTTCTCGCAAATATCAGGTGAAAATACATTCTTCTCCTTAGCTTGTTCAGTCGCTATAGCCCTTGGGAATCATTTTCCCGGGTGTACCAGCATAACAATTCCGATCACAACAGATACCTGCTCGAAATAATTCTAAACGTGTCCTCAAAGAGGCTGCCTTTGCTTGCTGATAGAATGCAACACCGTAAAGGATGTAACAATTTTGTTTCACGTGACTACTGGTGTCTCTGTAATAGGGTGTTAAATAAGAGTAAGTCTTTTATCCCTCGTCTCTTCATTGAAGTTGAGTTTTTAACGTCTACTGACGATAAAGCAAAATCTTTTTCTCGAAACTTCTCTTTAAATTCTACTCTTGACTCATCGGGAGTGCCTTCGCCTGACTTTCCACTTAGAATTGAATGTGTCTACTATCATTTCTAAACTGGTTCCTCACAAAGCATGTAGACTTGATGGTATC